CTCGATCTCCTGACCTCGTGATCCGCCCGTCTCAGCCTCCAAAAGTGCTGGGATTACAGGCTTGAGCCACCGCGCCCGGCCAAAAGCCATTTTTTGAAAAAGGTGTATCACTCAAGAAGTACTTATGAAAAAAATATGGAAAACTATCAAATTATTGAGGGCATTAAGTTGTCACAGTAACTGCTACTAATTTAATGCCAGGAATAGAGATGCCAAAAATCCTAAAATTTTCAAAGGGATCTCACAGAAATGTAGCACTCCACTCAAACTGCAGTAGCTTGATTGTGTTGAGAAACACTGATATAAAAAATGGAAAAACAACCCACATTCACTAATGAAGATAAGACCCAATTTTTTTTTTAAAAGGAAAGTATTTCTAGCTTTTATGGAAGCTTTAAGTAATTTTTCCTCATGTTCCTGTTTGAAACTTTTGAAAAAAGTTCTTTGGTGTTTGGTTAGGTGCAGTGTATTCTAGGCCACTGCTTTATAAACATGGTGTGAGAAAGCAGTAGGATAAAATAATCAGCGTTCAATCTATCTCATAATTTGTTTTCTAAAACAGTTTAGTAGAGCTCTGAATGTACTAAGAAGTCCCCGCTGAAAAAGCACGGTTAGAAATCTGCCCATAAACTCAGGGGGACTCAGGCGCCCCCTGGGTCTTCCCTCTCCTGCAGGCTCTGAGGTTAATGTCCTGATTTGCTAGCACCCCTGGTTCCTTGGCGTGTGGGTCAGATATGAAGACCTGTGTCTGGCTGACCAGGTTCTCCCGTTTTCATCCCTAGCTCTCCCTTGCCCAGGCACAGATAGGAGTCAGGAGTCATGACTGGCCCAAGGCCACGTTCAGACTTAACCTGCAATGGCCACTTCCTAGACCTCACAGTCACGAAGTAACCTCCATGTGGGAGAGCTCCGGGAACAGTGCAGAGGACTAAAGCCAGCTTGGAGTACGCTTTAGAAGAAAGCAGTTGAAGAATAGTTCCGGGGTGCAGTGAGCTATGACGAGACCTTCAAGCTCCTGCCTTCCAGGCCTATGGTGGGGACCAGTGGCATGAGTCAGCAAAGTACAGCACTCCTCAGATAAGTGATATTACCACAGTTTCCACCATCACTTTCAAGTTGAATAAAGCTTTTAATAAAACAGTCTTGTTCTTTATCAATACCTGTAAATTCTCTTAAAGCAGTAGCAAAGGCGACTGTAGCAAGAGCTCAAAAGGCAAGGCAATGTCGGAGTGTATTTAACAGAAGATTAAAAATATAAATGTAGAAGATCTGTTTATATATTTTTCTTTCAGAAATAAACCCCCCCCTCCCCTGCCAGGTAAAAGGAAATATTGCACTTTCTGCTCTCATGACTAAGGGGACAGGGGTTCCAGAAGAACCTTTCAAGATGATGAGGAACACCAGGACGAGGGCCATCTCACCTCACTTGGACCACATGGAGACCACCAGGTATCCTGCTTGACCTACCTTCAGAATGGGAGCAAAACGTTTGCCAGCCATGTCCCGCCCCACCAAGCCCTGTCTGAAGCAGAGCTTCCCCACCTGTGTTCCCTCCACAGTCCCAGTCAGCCCACTGGCAAAGGCCACTTCGTCCCAGCTCTGCCACCCTCCTGCTCACAGTGGCCAGGGCCCCTCAGGGGCAAGAATGGCAGGAATTGGAACGAGGGCTCTGGAAGGACTGTTCAGCCCTACGCCTAAGACCCCTGCGCTGGGGACGCTACAGGCACATGGAGGAATAGCAGGGCCACCCTCAGAGTTCACACGTCCATGAACAAACGAAGGCTGAGGAGATTTCTAAACCTAAAGTCCACGAGTGTGCACTTCAATCCAGGAAGGCCAGGACTTCCTTCAGTTCCAAAAAATAAATTCTCCCTTCCGGTTTGGACTGTTGCAGGCTCGAGGCTGTTCAGGAGTTGTCTACCACCTGGTGGGGCAGTGTGACAGAGGGGCCGTTGGGGAAGGCGGCTGGCTTGTCCCGCCCCTTCAAGAAGAAGGTCAGCAGCTCCCCCTTCCCCTTCACAAAGATGGGGCCTCGCCTCACAAAGCGGAAGCCGTACTCTCGGAGGATGACTTGGGTTTCTTCTACCACCTGTAGAGGGATGGGGAGCAAGAATGTGGCGTTACTGGGGGAGCCTAGACTGAGGGCGGGTGGGGCTTTGGGTGGTTGGAGCTGAGCACTGATCCATGGGTCCCAGGCAGTACAGGGCCCTCAGCACCCTTCCCAAACCTCCCAGGGCCAAGCCCTTCCTTCCACCCCCGGTGAGCAGCGGGTGGGCAGGAGAGCCCTGGAGTGAGTGGCTGGGGGCCTCCTCTCGCCCAGAGACTTCTCTCCTAGGACAGCCATTGTCACCTGGGTGGCAGCACTGTTGCCTGGAAACTGCCACTGCCTGCTCTTGTATCCCTTTGCCCCTTTCGTGGAGCTCTTCTGCCAGACCCCACTGAGACAGATCACAAGGTATCGGAAGGTTCATACCCGGTTCATACCCAGAGGCAGGCCATACGCACCCAGAACTTCAGCCCAGATTTTGTGGGTGGGTGGGTGGGAGCGTTTCCTCCTGCGCTGAGGCTAGCTATTGCAGAGACTCCTTTCCACTCACCCCATGCCTCTGCCTGTGGACTTAACTGTTCGGGGCCAGGGTGGGAGGCGGGCACATGGGAAAGCACTGTTCCGATTCTGTTCCTATGCCGAGTCTGAGCACGCGCCGGCTCTGCTGCTGGACGTACCTGGATGTTGCCCATGACCCCGGTGGACTCCATCCTGCTGGCTACATTGACCGTATTGCCCCAGATGTCGTAGTGTGGTTTCCGGGCTCCGATGACCCCAGCCAGAACCCCGCCTTTGTTCATGCCTAGGGTGGAGGCATAAAGTTCAGCACAGCCACAGGCCAAACCTTGTCATGAGCCTCAGAAACCAACTCCTCTTTTAGAGAATTTGTCACCAGACCTGTACCACAAAGCTCCTAATTATGTAACACATCATTGTCCTCGTTCAGCTTGCCTGTATGCTACTGGAGGGTGGCAGTCACGTCTCCTGTTGATCTGTGTGCTTGGCAGTGTCAGCTGCCACCCCCCCATATGCAGATTTACTCAGCATGGTAGTGACCAGTTCTAATACACCTGGTATTTCAAGTCTCCTGTGACCTCGCTCCGGAATGAGACGCCCTCAGTGGAAGAGCAGGTGATCTTAACTCCTTTCAAAGAGCAGGGAAAGAGCTGGGAAGCCATGCCCTCAGCAGGCACAGAAACCCCTCTGGAAATGGATCACAAATTCACTTCTTGGCCAGGCAGGCCAGGCTTCTGTTGTAAACAGTAGGCACAGTATAGCCTGACCATCACATCAGCTGGGTTTTGGTTTAGTCATCTAGAGGAGTCTGGACTAAAGGTCTTTCAGGTCCCCTCGCCCTGTGAGTGCGTGAACCTCCCCACCCGAATGCCTCAGTCCTCCTGAGCCTCCTGTCTGTCCTGGTGGGCCGAGCCCCTGCCACAGGGCAGGCCGGCTGGGGGCGCTCACCTATGCGCAGCATGAAGTTATTGAAGGACTGATTGTTGATGTTGGTGAGCGTATCCTTCATGGCCAGCGCAAAGTCGGCCAGGTCAGCCAGGTGCTGCCAGCGTTCTCTCTCAGACTTGTCCTCCTGTGCCAGGGGACCATGGAGAAAGTGTCAGGGGCCGCTCACCTGCTCTGCTGTCTTCCCTGGCAGTGTTCTGGGGGTGGATTCCCCACAGCTAGATGTTCAAGGCCTGACTTCCCTTCCTCCCACAAAGGAGTCGGCAGCCGCGCTAGCTGCGACTTGCCACTGTGACAAAGTTCACGTAGCAGGTCTAGGCAAAGTCTGGGCAATGGGGGTAGAGGAGACGGATCCGTGAGTCTGACCGCGAGGTGGGCTCCTTCACCTTGGCTGGGCCTGGTCCTTAGGTTTTGTCAAGTTGTCCTTGTTTGGATCCCTCAACTAGGTGATAAGCACTGGAGGGGGTGACCCGCCTTGAACATGTTTCTGTAACCTCATCCATACAATAGAGAGGGCCATGGGATGGTCTTAGAGGTAAAGCAGGATGATGATGTTTTAAGACCAGAGCTTGGGACCAGGGCTCCTACACCCCATTTTCTCTCCTGGTAGCTGAACACAGGTCTAAATTAGCTTAACAAATGAACAGGCTGCCATTGACCAGAGTTCTGAAGGCCACACTTTTTAAGTTTCCCTTGTTAAACATTTTTTTTTTTTTTTTTTGGAGACAGAGTCTCGCTCTGTTGCCCAGGCTGGAGTGCAGTGGCCGGATCTCAGCTCACTGCAAGCTCTGCCTCCCAGGTTAAAGTCATTCTCCTGCCTCAGGCTCCCGAGTAGCTGGGACTACAGGCGCCCGCCACCTCGCCCGGCTAGTTTTTTGTATTTTTT